GCACGTAAGGCGTGGATGTTCTCTACACTGTCCCTCTCCTGGTTTGATGACTGTTTTGTTCCCGATGTAAAGAAATTCTGTGAGCGACAGAATGTGCCATTCAATATTTTGTTGCTGCTGGACAACGCACCAGGACACTCGCCCCTACTGTTAGATCGTCACCCCAACGTTAAAGTGGTCTTCCTTCCTCCCAACACTACGTCTATATTACAGCCCATGGACCAAGAGTTAATCTGTAATGTAAAAGCTGCATTCTCAACAAAAAAATTCCAGCTCCTGAACGACTACACCAACACCAGGGAAGAGTTGCGTAACCTGAGTGACACCACCACCGATAGCAAGAGCGAAGAAGATGAGGATCAACAGTTGGCACAGCAAAAAATACTGTTCAAACAATTCTGGAGAGTATTTAACATCAAGAAAGCTGTGGACTTCTTGGTGGAGTCATGGGATCAGCTGTCTATTGCTACAATTCGTCACGCATGGAGACATGTGTTGCATGGAATACCAGGTGAGAGGAGGAGTCAATCTGTGACTGGTGAGGTTCAGAATGTTGCAGTAGCAGTGGACCTTGCCAGAGAAGCTGCGCAGACTGTTACAGTTCCAGGCTTCTCCGAGACCACCAACGACGACATCCTGGAGGTGATCAGAGATCCTGAAGTGACTGCCGACGAGATGTTGGAAGATGATCACGTCAGTGAAGAGGAGGAAGAAGGTGCGTCATTCTCCGAAGAACACAGTTTAACTCATAGTGATATTAAGGGTGCCATGGAGTGTGCAGAGAAAATGAAGTCCTTCCTTTCCCACGACAATGACGATGACCGCTATGAAGTCTTCCATACCCGGCTGGTGCAGGCTATGGAGCCGTACATCACAGTGTATCACGACAACATAAACACCAGCTGTCAAAAAAGCATAACCGAGTTCTTCGCCCGCAACCCACCACAGCCAGCCCAAGCCAGTGATAGTGACAGTGAAGATGACTGAGGGATTTGTCAGGGAAGCCCTGACAACTGTAAGTGACAGTGATGGTGATTCACCTAGTAATGGTGATTCACCTGAGGGCCAGTAATCTGCCCTCTGCCTCGGAACCAGCCTCCATCCCCGTATGCCGACCCATCTCTTCTACTACCGTAAGTGTTCCACCTAACTTTTAGTTTTTCTAACCTAACCTTTATTTTTCCTATGTTAACCTTTATTTTTCCTAACCTAACCTCTTCTATATTACTTGTTTTTTCATACCATCATAAAGTTAAGATAAAATTTTTACTACAACATAGTTGTGTGTCGTCAAAAAGTGGAGTTTGGGGGTCGGCCCGGACTCCATTTCAATTAATCCCATATGTTATGTTATTCACTTTACGCGTTTCTCACTTTACGCGGGACCCTGCGGGTTACATTAACCACGTAAAGTGAGGGTTAACTGTACATAGAAAATCTAAAATGGGTGTCTCTTTTTTTTCTCAGCACCACAAAACTCTCACTTTTAAGCTTGCCAACCATTTTAACGGGAATTACAAACGAAAATTCTGTCAGTACACAGTGCAATCACTGACGTCGGGACTCGAAAATACTTAATTTGAAAAAATTTTGGTACGAATGTGTGAGTCCGGTGGTCGTAAGTCGAGTAGGTCGTAAGTCGAGTAGGTCGTAAGTCGAGGAGTACCTGTATTACCTCAGCATCTACCGAGTACATTTGGCTCATCTTATATCTTCTCTATACAGTGCAGTATAATATATTGGCGAATTGGAAATGGCATTACATCTATCTATCACAAACAAAAGTGTGTTACTGTACTTACCATAATTGAAGCTATAAGAGGATGATTGAAGGAATGCAATGCTTGATAAAATTGGAGAAGGGCAATGGGGAGACAAAAAATATTCTGAGCTGAAGGTACAACGTCACGGGGGTAGACGGCGGTCTCTTAAAAATATACACATTTCCATTGGAACCGGTTATTAGGACATTTAAATATTTGTTTTCTTTATTATCTCATCTTAATTTACAGATACAGTGACCCCTCGTTTAACGAACGCCTCGGTTAACGAACTGCCTTCCATAAAAATCTTCAATTCGGTTAACGAACAAAAATTCGGTTAAAGAATTTCTTACGAACCGACCTCAACATGTTTTCGCTTGCACTGACCGGGCAACCAGCTTTAGTATCAGTCCGCCAATACATTAATCGGTTCTAGGGCTTAAATTCCTTACTATTTTAGTAAATATCAAGAAGTTTATACTATTCAATAATTTTAAAAGTTTAATATTAACTTTTTTAGTCATTTTAACAATTATTGAACATAATTGAAGGTAAAGAAACTAGTTTCTTGCGTGCCATCCAGCCTGTTAACACACCAGACAGGCGTTAGTCTCTCTCTGTTTTCAGTGGAGGTAACATCTTGCTTGAGACTCTCTTCAACTAAACGCTTTTTTTCTGTGTTTCCAAGCAAATTATTGGTCATTTTGAAATATATTTTACATATTGACAATATATAA